TTTACTTCAAAAATAATCCTTGACCTCATTAAAACCTTTGGATTTGATAAAATTACGCCAGCTTTAAATTCTACTTCGGCATTCAAAGCAATTTTGAAGCACGGAGAAATATGTAGATACGAAAAAAAAAATTACACTTAGCACTAAAATTATTAAGTTACAAAAAAACCTTTTTATTCCATTTTTATTTTCTGGAAAGTTAAGCTACAGCACATTTTTAGACTTTCAACTTTTAATAACACAGCTGAACTCGGTTATAATGAACGTCTGGTTTTAACGAACGAAACAAAATATTTCACTTAAACACGTGCTATTAATATCGGTTTTAGCGAACGTTTTTAAACAAGTAATTAATAATTCGATCGGAACAAATCGACCTAACCAATCATTGAATTATTTGTACAATAACTTATGACATACAGAATGTTTCCTCCTGTTATGAAATCCATTAGTTTTGAGCGAAGATCGACTGGAACTTGATCGTTTGTGAGCTTAATTAAATTGCATTTTGGGTCGAAATGCTTCAAATGTAAGAGGACGACACAACAAAATTGAAATTAGGCTTTCTGTACTTTTCACGCTAATTATTTTTGCGAAAGTCCAAATTCCCTAATTCCAACCTCTCCAATACATTCAGTTATGCTAGTTATAGAAAAACGCAGTTAGGGAAATTTCTGCTTTTCCTTCAATTTATTTTTCCCTTGTGCTTATTTTATTTTAATTTCATTGAAGGATATGCTTAGGATCATAATGTGACGGTAGGAAACGGTAATACATACGAAGTGTGTATTGTGGTCATGTGATTCTTATCGTTTTCTAGTCACTGTGGCAGTTGCCTGCTCTATTGTATGTATTATTCTAACACTGTAATAATTATTATATAGTAAAAAATCATTTTGGGTTTAGGTAGGAAACTTGATGAAGAGGGTTGGAAAAAATACACATTTTTGGCCACTTTTTAGTATTACATTTTATGAAGGCATCTGCAAGTTTGTTTTAGCAAATAAAACATTCGTTTTTCTGAAGATGTTTCGACTAAATATTAGAAATAACGAGTTTTTCAATATTTTTTTAACACAATTTACGAAAGTTAAATTTAATACCAATAACTATTTACAGTTACAGAATTTTTGTGTTTTCGTTGAAACAATATTCTTGAGACAATAAATAATTTTTGTGAAATATTCTTATGTTAACGTTTTTGTTACTCAATTTGTTTATGAATATTGTAAGATTTTCTTTGTAATTTAACTATTATTTTCATAAAATATCACAAAAACGTTTCAAGAATAGTTCAGTTTGTCACTTACAGAATATAATACATTTATATGCCATTACAGTGTTGACTTTTGAAAGAGTTTGTTGTGTATGTTGGGATATATAATAAATGCATTTTCTGTGTTCGGAGTATTGTGCTGAAACGGCTGCAAGTGAAACTTGAGTATCACGAGATAAATAGAAAGTGACCTTGAAGCGTCAACTACCCTTTCATGGAAGCACATTTTCATACAGAAATTCTGTTTCCCGGCAACCAAAATCGATATCGTGAACCAGGCGTTGTCGGCACGGCGCCGGACGCCGACGCCAACGTCCCTCTGAATATAGAGCCTCGACGCTCACGGAAATACTACCACAAACGTACACATTTCATTTTCCACTACACCACCACGTTACTGATGCGAATCAATCTGTTTTCATTCCCAAAAAAAAAATAATAATTGAGTTGAAAGTCAGTAGAAAATCGGCTACTAAAATTAAAATAATATATTGTAAGATAATTTATCAGGGAAGAGGATAACTTAAGGGCATCCCCAGGGTCAACAGATGACTATGAATTTTTGAATCGAAACAATAGCATGTTTTAGGCAAGGTAAATTTTACTAATTTATCGACTAGCCACATGCTAATGCTTGAATAGGTCCGTGAAAATTATTGATTGTTTAAAAATGACTAATACGTTCAACTTTGGTTCAATTTTAAATTGACGTTTTTTGTTGTATGAAGGAAATGATCGCGAAAAAAAGAACTATTTTATAACACAAACCCATTTACGTCAAGAAACAATCAAGAATATTTTGGTAATAACCATATTTCATTTTATATCGATACGTCTGGCGAAATTGTCTAGGTATAGGCATATAAAAATAATGAAATAAAGAAGTCGAAAGAGAAAGAATAAAACTTCACATTATTGAAGATTTAAAGTGCCTATCGGAAATAGATATATAAGAAAAGCTTATTAAACGAATTACACGCTTGAGATACAGAATTTTGTTCAATTCATTGTGAAATCGTGTAGGTTGAAACAGAAACAAGTAATCTTTAATATTCCAAATTGAAGTAATTATTTTAATGTGTGAAATATTATAAGATCGCTCGAAGTGGTCGGTACAATACGATATTTTTGATACGACGAAACGATAGGATACCTACAACTAAATATCGTATTGAATCTATCGATGTTTCCAGAAATGTATGAAATCTAGGAAATGTATATAATTCTGAGACTATTTAGGAAATGTATAAAATATTGTTTTTTAAAACACACATATCCTAGAAAATGTATACATTTCCTAGGAATTGTATGAAATTCCGATGTTGTATTAGGAAATAAATCGCCTGATTGATTGATTAATTAGGAAATGTATAGATTTCCTAGGAAATATGTCTAATATAATTTATTTCATACATTTTCGGGCGATTTTAGGAATTATATACATTTCCTAGGAATTTTATACAATGACGGATTACACACATTTCTGTTAACATCGATACAAAATATCGATATATCGGATTTTGTTGCATTGATACACCAAAATATCGATATGTATCGGTACTGCTGCCTGTGAATAGACCAAACTAGGGGTTGTAGCGTTAATAGAGAAAAAATTATCTTTAAATATAGATAGATTTGTAGAGGCCCTGCGAGCGAGTGTCTGATTTATACAGTATTAATGAGAATACTTATTAGCAAACTTATCTGATATGATTAGGGGCGTCAAGTTGACTGATTACCATGGTAGAAGTTCACTGTGGTTTCGACAGTGATATATTACATTGCGTGGGTATTATACTAAATAAATTTCTAGAAATTAGGAAGTACAATCTAAAAAGCCGGAATTGTAATATTTCTACGCTATACAGATCTAGTCAATTCAAACTCAAAAAATGTGAGCATTTATCGATTTACTACCTAACATATTATCATCAAATTCAATTATTACCTACTGGTTTATGAAATACAATACAATAGTTTATTTTATATTTTTGTATTAAATTTTACCATCAATTGACGTCTAGTGTTCAGTATTGTTAATTGTAATAAAGTATATGCGAAATGGATGAATGATGAAGAATGTTTTAATTGTATGACGTTTCATCAGCTTTATTCTAATTTCTAATTCTAAGGAAGAAGAACAAAAACACGTCGAATTATTATCATCATTTGTGCACTTCACATTAACTTACATGTCAATTTAACTTTATTTTTCTAAAAACTCATTTTTTACCCCCCACCCCCTCCTTCTCGGTGACCACCCACAGGATATACCAAGACCCCCGTCCCCTCTAGTTTTCAAGTAGTAATTCTAAATATGATTGTAAATAATTTTTGGCAAACAGAAACTTTGAGTATAGTTCGAAAAAGCACGACTTTTCTCTAGAGGATATTGACTTCGTGACGAAAGCTTAAACCCCCCGTCCCTGTGACCATGCGCATACCCCCTACCTCCCTCCAGCCCAATGGGTCACGTAGTATGGGTACGTTCTCTAATCTATCACAAATTCATAAAGAAAACTTTGTTGCGAAATAGTTCATACTAAAAACTCAAGACTAAAGACTCAATTTTGAAATTTTGTGTAGTAGAAATTATTTATTAATTAATTGCATGTATTGGCATTGTTTCCAATTTGGTCTTGCATTATTAAACGTGGTTTAAACAAAACCCTTTTTGGCATAAGAAGGAATATATATATGTAGTTAGTTAATAAATTCATTAACGACGCACAGTGCATAATAGACATTGATAAAATTTCATTATGTATAATACATTATAAGTGCATGCGATAATGTGAACTATTATTGTCATGAATTAATTAGATTGAACTGATAAACACATACAAATAACCACGATTATACATACGTAAGTACAAACTGTTTATTAATTGCTGCTGTATTCTTTTATGTATGTAAATGGACAATAGACATGCCAATATACACTCACGTGCATGTAGGTCTCTTTACAGGTTTCTGTTTTACTTAAGCAGATAATAAGAATAGTATGCAAGAAATTAGCTGATATTACTTAATTATCATTATCGTTTTTCAAACGTGTGCATGTAGCAGGTATATTGTTTAAAACGATAATCACATATGATGGCTGTGATTTATTGTGAGCGGAAGCCATTAAATAAATGGCGTTTGTTAGGTTTCATTTTAAGAAGCTTTTGATGGCTACTTCAAATTAATTTAATTTTTAGAGGTGTTTATGTAAAGTAGTCGCTTCCACCAGCAATATTTTCCTTAACTAATAATTAATAATAGAATATTTATTAGATATTTGATAATTTGCACCTCTCGGTAACAGTCATCAGATTCCTTCTGAAGAATCTGATAGCGTGAATATCAGCGAAACGTCAAATAAAATCAACAGACCAAGGAGGAACCCGGAAGAAATTTCTTTACTAAACCAAGGTCGTGGAACCTTGCACTTTTTCAAAATTCTTTTGTCACTGGTTGTAGAGAAAATTATGAATGTTTCTAAAATTACAGTCTTACAGAGCTGTACTTCCAACGATAAGAAGATCCCTTAAAAAAGTAATCAGTCGTCTTAACTTAAAGCCTGTAGGTGCACTTAATAAAGTCTGAACTACTTTGTGCCGTTACCATTGGGGGTATAATAAAAAAAAAATCACTGCTTCGCAGGTCAAACGTTCATCGAATGCAAATCTACCACGGTAAGTTGCGCATGATTGATACTGAATAGTGATTCGTCAATTTCATGAAATTGAAATGGGTTTTTGTAATTTACCCAAAGCGAACCTCTTTAAAGATGCACATATAACTTATAAAGTTTAAAAAATATATTTGATGAATAGTCTGACTGAGTTTTAATAAATTAGTTGCAAAATGTGAAGCATATAGAGGTTCTATCCATTTTTAGGTTGTAGATGGAGATGCAATATTATTAAAGAATATTACCTATACTAGGTATATATATTTTGTAATGTTAAAATAGTTTACAGTATATTTCTTTCCTCAGACAGTACCTTGTACTTGTTGTCTGTATTGTAATATTCAGTTCATTCTTTCAGAGCAATCGACTACTTTTACAATTACCAGCATCTACTAATTCTCGAACTTACAGACTCGAAGCGAAGTCGTCCGTCCATTCGTTAAGTTTCCTCTTTTTATTTCCTGCTTTTCCTATAATTTTCCTTACTTATAAGCGCAAGAGGACAACCCTGTACAACCACCATTTGCTAGAAAATCAGAAGGTAACCTCCATGTGGCTGGAGGTTTTAGTCGTTGTTATTCACCTGTTGCTGCCAGGGTTGCCCAATTCCACGAACTGCTGGAAGGCTTCTGACTACAATCAAGAACAAACAATACTTAATACCACTCATATAATTACAATTCTCATTATATTATAAGTCGATTAATGAACACATTCCATGCCAAGTTAAATTCATTTAGCATAATAGCAACCACTGTTATTTGTGAAAGAGGAAACAGGTTAACATTACAATATAATAGTATAGAAAAAATTGATGACTAAGATAGATTAAGATCACCAGCTAGATTGATCTTTTCTACGGCTTTAAATTTTTTGAAAATTAGGCACAGGCGCCCTTTGCATCATGCTGAACCAATAAAATAAAAGCAACATCGAGGGCATTTCGGATCATCATCATCATCATAAGGTCGTCAGTCCTAAGACTGGTTGGACACGTACCTCTACTCTTTCCTATTCTGAGCTAAACTTCGCATTTCCCTAAAACTAGAACAACCCACATCCTTAACTATTTGTGAACAGTAATCTAACCGAGGTCTACCTCTACTTTTCCTAACTCCTTTTTCTGCCTCTAATATGTCTCTGACTAGACCTTCATGTCTGAGAAGGTGTCCTACCAACCTCCATAGAGTCCTCTGTTCTCCTATTCTTTCTAATACTTCTTCATTTCTAACCTTTTCTACCCACGTTATCCTCATCATTCGCCTATAACGCCACATTTCGAAGGCTTCTAACCTTTTCTTTTCCGCCACGCCCACTGTCCAGATTCTTTCTTATTTTAAGCTGCTCTTCGCATTTCCTTGAAACTAGAACATCCTCCATCCTTAACTATTTGTGAACAGTAATCTAATCTAGGTCTACCTCTATTTAGCTCCTGCTTCTGGCTCTAATATGTCTCTAACTAGCCCTTCATGCCTGAAAAGCTATTCTCTGTACTCCTACTCTTTCTAATACCTCATCTCTCACTTTCTCTATCCACGGTATCTTCATCATTCGCCTGTAACACCACATTTCGAATGCTTCTAACCTTTTCTTACACATACATTTTTAACAATCTATCTCGAGCATAGAAATGATTTCTTTTTGTTAAAGGCGACTCAAAGTTGTGCTATTTTCTGCTTTATATCTCTACCGCTCCTTCCATCCTATCTGACTTCCTAGATATTGAAAATCACCGATATCTTCTAATTTTTCATCTCCTATCTTTATATTCACTCTTTCCTCACATATATTACGTAAGCAGAGTATATTGCTGATTTTAGCCCGTATTTATATAAGACTATGACTAATTTCACGTCAGTAGGATTGTGCCTGCAATATTATATCCCTATTGGCAAAATTAATTTATCAAACCATTTCTGATGGCAACATTGTATTTCATTCTATCCATTCAATACGGTTATATTTTAATAACGAAATGACGGAGTAATTAAGAATAATGTGTTTTTACTAATAAGTGGGAGTTTGCTTTTTAGTTTCGGTAATAAAAGACTAATTAATATTTTCCTACATAAATGTAAACACACTGAATTATCTACCATTTACAAGGCTAATCGATTTTAAGTACCTTACAATAGAATTATCGGTACATAATATATTTCTTTAAATAAACACAGAACTAAAAATCAAAAACATTAGAACACTGATAAATAATAATTTTTTTAATTTTTGGTCTGCGTCAATTGAAATTTTCGAAATGGTTGCGGTGGTAAACATAGCATAAGGTCGTCAGTCCTAAGACTGGTTGGACACGCACCTCCACTCTTTCCTACCCTGAGCTAAACTTCGCATTTCCCTGAAATTAGAACAACCTACACTTTTAACTATATATTTGCGAACAGTAATCTAACCCCTCTTAATTCCTGTTTCTGCCTCTAATATGTCTCTGAATAGCCCTTTATGCCTGAGAAGGCATCCTACCAACCTATTTCGCCTATTTTTTATTGACTTCCATAGAGTCCTCTGTGTTCTCCTATTCTTTCTAATACCTCTTCATTTCTAACATTTTCTACCCACGTCATTCTCATCATTCGCCTATAACACTACATTTCGCAGGCTTTTAACCTTTTCTTTTCCACCGTGCCCACCGTCCATGTTTCGCACTCGTACAACGCCGCGCTCCAAACATACACCTTTAACAATTTAGCCTACTTCTTTTTTAAAACCCAAAATTTCGGGGTAGTGATACATTCGACAGGTACAGTTAAAATGTAAATTCGGTCGCTCCGTTCGAATCTACCGAAAATTGAGTGTGTAAATTCGGTCGAAAAATTGCTTTCATATGAGAGAATACTTATTTTCTAAAATATTGCTTTATGTATTACTTATTTAAATAAAACAAATATTAAACCATAATATCAAAGTTGTAGCTGTTTGTTCTATTAGTAATGCAATTTTCATAGGTGTATATTAAGATGTAGTCATAAAATCCACTAATTTCGCTTTACATTTTAAAATCTTATACAAAAGTAAAAATGTAACTTTTGGTTAAATAAATATAATAATAATATACAAAAGTAATGTGATGTTAGCTTCACATATATTAAAATATTTTTAATTAAATTAATTAATTAAGAGGCTACCTACCCTTATCTCAAGGAGTCGTTATCTGATTTATACTCATATCATAAGAGAATCCGTAACAGCATTCTTACCATTTCCGCGTTTGACACTTAAGATGTTGTTTTTATTTTCTCCGTCTATCTAAGCATAAACCAGCCGAATTTACAATTTATTTTTGAGAGCTACGAAACCTTTCCTACCGAATTTACCACTGTATTTAGCAAAACCACATTAAATCGGACGAATTTACAAACCTAGAAATTTTCAATGAAAAAAAGTTTTGTAAAAAAAATTGGTAATTACGAACTTACAATTATTGAATAGATTAGACTTTTACTTGATGAAAATCCATATCAAAATAAAAAATAAACAATGACTGTTTCGCCCCTCTTTTGGTTTCTTCAAACTTTCAGTACCTACGTACGAATTAACGTTACAATGTACTGTAGGTGTTTAAATACAGTGTTTGACCAAACGCAATGTAACAATTTTTTACTTCTTTTGTTCTTAACTACCCCTAGTAACATAGTAAATAAACACCTTCAATACATTGTAACGTTGGAAGTAAGTACTGAAAGTCTGAAGAAGGCAAAAAAAGGGGGCGAAACAATTGTACCTATTTAAATAAAATGTGTGTGAAAATCTTAAGGATCATTTGTTGTTTTAACTTACAAATAATTAAACGTAGTCATTCACGGCCCGCGTCCTGTGCTATTATTATTTGCTTTCGGGTTTTCTGCCGTTGTCTTTGGAAATTGTTTCCGGACGTTTCGGCTACAATTGCGGCAGGTAAGACAGAGAAAACCAACGTTCTACCCTTGAAAACGCCTGCCGCAGTTGTAGACGAAACGTCGGGAAATAATTTGCAAAAACAACAGTCAGAAAGACCACAAATAAATAATAATAGTACCTACAATTAATTGATGTCTAGAACGATAAAACATTTGAATTAGTATTAATTAATTAAAGAATTCTTCAATCAAATGTTTTCTTGTCAATTAGTATGAACTTTTTTGTTTAAAAAAAAATATTTA